TGGAAGAGAAGGGATTGTGGCGTGGCCATCCCCCCTGGGTGGTGATTTCTCGCTTTCTATCTCTCTGTCTCTCTCTGTCTGTCTGGCGAGCGCATGCGCCCTATAGCAAAAAGCTCTCAAAAAAATATTGAAAAAAAAACCTCAAAAATAGTTTTTTTTTTTTTTTTTTTTTTTTCAATTTGCTAGGAGGTGCATATACTTGCTGGAGAAAGAGAGGCAAAATGAGAAAGCAATCTCCATGGGGAAGGATCACACTGCAATCTCTTCTCCTCTCCCCCTCCTTTTGGGGTTTTGGGCACAGGTACACACATGCCTGGCATGAAAAAAAGAACTCCAAATGTATCTTAGTCAATGATCTTAAGTGGTTAAGAGCTTTAAAATTCAGAGGACTGATGAGAAAGATCATTGTTTTGAAGAGAATGTACTATATGACAAACTTTGAAATTTCCCAATTTTAGACATTTTATTCCAACTTTCGACACATCCCTGGTTTATGTAACATGACTCCCTTTTTTTCCCTGAACATCCAAACGCTGAGAAAAATGAATAGCACTGAGGGTAATTGTTACTGGTTAAGTTTCTCTCGCCATCACCGTAGCCGCTGCTACCCCGGTGCGTAGGCAGATTTACTTCTCCCCACTTCTGAGCAAAGGAATTCTTGCCTTCCGGAGAGGTATAAATATCCCTTGCCTAGTGATTTTCAGTTTGTGGCAACTCAAGCAATTACAGAGAACCGAGAGCCATAGCACGTTTGAGGGTTAGAGCAGGGTTTCTCTATGTAGAAAGACAGCTCGGCGTCTCCCCCCCCACCACATGTGTTATTATTCGTCATTCTCCTCCGTTAGCATACTCTGGCCCTGAAGACCTTGGTGAGCCACGGAACAAACTCTCCATTTCAGAGAGTACTTAAAAATACAGTGTACTGGGACCAGCAGTTAGCGTAATGGCTATGTCGCTGGACTCCCGTGTAGTAGACTACAGTTCAAGTTCCAGACCCAGTGGCTTAAATTCACACCGGGTGTGTGTACGTGCGTGCCCAAGATCCTGATAGGAGAATGGAGGAGAAGGGATTGCGGTGTGGCCATCACCCCTCAGGGATGATTTCTCGATTTCTGTCTTTCTGTCTCTATTTTTTCTGGTGAGTACACGCACCCTATAGCAAAATCCTCTTAAAAAAAAAAAAGTGAACTGTATTATAACAGTGATATCTAACAGTTCACTGTGAATACGAGAATATTCTGTCACCTGCACTGTCCAGTCCAGTAGCCTCTGCTCACATGTAGTTTTTGAACACTGGAAATATGGCCAGTGCAACTGAAGCACCCTTTTCCTCAGTGTGTTTAATTTTACAAATCTAAATTTAACTAGCCACAAGCGACTAGTGGCTCCCGCATTAGACAGTGCACTGCTGGATCGGGTTGTTAATCACATTTATTTCTCAAGTTCGTCCTTTCCTTGTGGGTCACTGTCTCGTCTTCAGGATACACTCTTTGTGCCTCTGATCAGAAACCTCCCTTTATAAATTTTGATGTAGCTTCTGAGGCTTGGAGCTACTTTGCTGCTGCATACCTTTCCCAGTTTTCTGTTAGCAAGAGGAAAAATAGGGTCAGCTGTTGCTTCCATCGACGAGGAAGTCCTATCAGATAGTAGAGACTCTTCATTAACAGACTGTGACCCGGTTAAGAACCCAGTTGATTCTGACTTTACAATGTACTAGCCTGATTTTTAGTTGATGCGATTCTCATTCTAAATACATTTATATTTATGAAAGCTACAACGATAAATAGATCCTTTTCAACCAAGGTAAAACCCACTTGGTATCTGTATTTTATACCTTATGTGCAAGCAAGAATAAGTCTGAGGAAACGCCCTTGTTAAAGTAGATGAAACTGGGCCTCTGGTTATCCAGCTTAATTCCTTATCTTAACCGGATTTCTGTTATCTCTTTTTAAAAGGTGCAGAACGTGTAATTACCTTGAAAATGGAAATTCCTGGATCAATGCCACCTCTTATTCAGGAGATGCTGGAGAATTCCGAAGGACATGAACCCTTGACCCCAAGCTCCAGTGGAAACACAGCAGAGCACAGTCCCAGCATCTCCCCCAGCTCCGTGGAAACCAGCGGGGTCAGCCAGTCACCTCTGGTGCAATAAGACATTTTCCAGCTACTTCAAACATTCCCCAGTACCTTCAGTTCCGGGATTTAAAAATGCAAGAAAAGAAGAAAACCATTTTTACTGCTGCTTAGTTTTTGGACTGAAAATATATTAAAACTCAAGAAGGACCAAGACGTTTTCATATGTATCAATATATATATATATATCAATATATATATATATATACTCCTCACTCTAAGTTACCTAGAAATACAAACTTTTCAAATTCTAAAAATCAGCCATTTCATGCAACCAGAAACTAGTTAAGAGCTTCTATTTTCCTCTTCGAACACTCAAGATTGCATGGTAAAGAACCAGTTCAAATGAGTTGCCCTGGTTAAGTTTCTGAAGACTTTGTACATACAAGTATTGGCTCTGTTCTTTCTCTACTGTATGTTTGGTGCTTTCCTTTTGTTTTGCATACTCCAAATAACCAAGACATCAAGGTTATGAAATAGACTACTGTACCTGTCCACCTAAGAAAGGTTCCAAAAGATGACTGTCTTGCTTTCATGGAATAATCAAGACACCCAGGTAAGGAAACAGGACTGCTGTACAGTATGACAGAAGACTAGAGAGATTCTGATTTAGTTAGTGCGGAAGCTTGTCCTTGCTCCTTTTCGATGTTCTCAAACTGCCTCTTTTATTTCATGTTGCCCAGTAAGAGTAAACAAATTCACTGCACTAGCAGAAGAGAACTCTGGATAACTGCAGTTCAGTTGAGCAAATGTCATTCATTCAATTCTTGTCACTTTAAATAAAAAGTGGTTTATTACTTGTTTAATGACATAACTACACAGTGGGAAAAAAAAGAAAAAAAAATACTACATTTTTACAGTGATGATAGCCTTCAAGGCAGAGACACTTTTCAGTGTTAGTAAGTTTTTGTTTACCTGTTCACAAGCCATTAGGGAAAATTCATGGGAAAATTAGCAGGCTGGTCGACTACCTGGACCACATAACTAATGTCCTTCCTGATTCATGCCGATATTGGGATTTTTTTTTTTCCCAGCCTTCTCTATGCCAAGGGGCTAACATTCACTCCCACTGGCATGGACATAGAATCTGCCTCCTTTGACCTTGTTCAATCACTATGAAGCAGAGTGAAAGCTGTGGTAGAGTGGTTAACAGATACAAGTGTCAATTTCTTAGTTCTCATTTAAGCACTAGTGGATTTTGTTTTTTTGATATATTAGCAAGTCTGTGATGTACTTTCACTGGCTCTGTTTGTACATTGAGATTGTTTAACAATGCTTTCTATGTTCATATACTGTTTACCTTTTTCCATGGAGTCTCCTGGCAAAGAATAAAATATATTTATTTTAAAGTGTGTGGGAACTTTTACTACCTACACTTTCTTCAGTAAAGAGACAAAGAACACAGTTCCATTTTTTAATGTTTAAATTTCAGTTCAAAAAGCAGGTCTGTAGTCTGCAACCATGACAATTAAAATCTGTGCTAATGCACGGCAGTCTATAACAATTCTACAAGCCAATCAGACAGTACATGACATTTCAATGAGTAAAAAAGGGCATAAAACTGCATGTGTAAGAACAAAATGTTAAAAGGCCTACCACAATAATAAAAAACCATCAATTACATCATCACATTAAAATAAGCCAGATGTACAAAAGTCTGAGACAGAAAAGACAAGAGGACAACACAACGTATTTGTTGAAAAATGTTTCTGTGCTCTTTGGGCACTTAATTAAACATTGCAAAATCAACATCATCTTCTTCATCAGACTCTGCAAAATATTTTACTTCTTTTCTGGCCCGACCGGTCCGTGGCAGAGAAGGTGGCTCAGAAGTGAAGTCCGACGGGAAGATGTCCACATCTGAATCCTGATCGAAAGATGTTTTCTTCAGTTTCTAGACATTAAAAAACAAAAAAAGAAAATAGATTTAAAATGCCAAAGTTAAACAAAAAGACTAGTGTTAAGGACTAGTCCTTACACGTCACTGCTTTTTAAATCAGAATTATAATGCTAATTTAGGTGTACGGACCAGTTACCTAATCATTTTTTGGAAAGAGAAAAAGATTAAATATAATAACTTTCCACACTGGTGGCTTTATATTTACCAACTTCTAGCTTCAAAAATGCAACATTATTTCTGAAAGTGGATACTATCCAACAAGCATGCATAATGCCTAAATTAATAAAGTTATCCCACCCTCCAAGAGCTCATGGAAGTAGAGGGAACAGGCTCTTCTACAGTGTGTAGTACACACGTGTGTTACATGTTCTGCACCTTTCTAAGAGATAACAGAAACCTGGTGAAGATAAGGAGGTAAGCTGAATAACCAGAGGCCCAGCTTCATCTAACAAGGGTGTTTCCTCAGACTTATTCTTGCTTGTACAAAAGGTATAAAATACAGATACCAAGTGGCTTTTACCTTTGGTTTTTGTTTTTTAAATTTTTTTTTTTTTTGAGAGGTTTTTGCTATAGGGCATGTGCACTCGCCAGATAGACAGAGAGAGACAGAGAGATAGAAAGTGAGAAATCACCCCCAGGGGGGATGGCCACGGCACAATCCCTTCTCCTCCATTTTCCTCTCGGGATCTTGGGCACACACGCACATGTGCCCTGCGTGAGTTTTAAGCCACCAGGTCGGGGACTCGAACCACAGTCAACTACGTGGGAGTCCAGCAACATAGCCATTACACTAACTGCTGGTCCCGCTTTTACCTTGGTTGAAAAGGATCTATATATCACTGTAGCTTTCATAAATATAAATGTGTTTAGAATGAGAATTGCATCAACCAAAACTCAGGCTAGTATATTGTCAAGTCAAAATCAACTGGGTTCTTAACCAGATCGCAGTCTGTTAATGAAGTCTCCACTATCTGATAGAGGACTTCATTGTTGATGGAAGCAACAGCCTGACCCCATTTTTCAATAGTGTGTGTAGTACACACTGTAAAAGTTTATGAAAGTGAAGAGTCACTGAGGTAGACCAGAAGTACAGAAGGTGACTGTATAGAAGAGGTCAAAGTGGGAAGAGAAATGATTGCAGGGGTGACCATTACAATAATAAAAAACCATCAATTACATCATCACATTAAAATAAGCCAGATGTACAAAAGTCTGAGACAGAAAAGACAAGAGGACAACACAACGTATTTGTTGAAAAATGTTTCTGTGCTCTTTGGGCACTTAATTAAACATTGCAAAATCAACATCATCTTCTTCATCAGACTCTGCAAAATATTTTACTTCTTTTCTGGCCCGACCGGTCCGTGGCAGAGAAGGTGGCTCAGAAGTGAAGTCCGACGGGAAGATGTCCACATCTGAATCCTGATCGAAAGATGTTTTCTTCAGTTTCTAGACATTAAAAAACAAAAAAAGAAAATAGATTTAAAATGCCAAAGTTAAACAAAAAGACTAGTGTTAAGGACTAGTCCTTACACGTCACTGCTTTTTAAATCAGAATTATAATGCTAATTTAGGTGTACGGACCAGTTACCTAATCATTTTTTGGAAAGAGAAAAAGATTAAATATAATAACTTTCCACACTGGTGGCTTTATATTTACCAACTTCTAGCTTCAAAAATGCAACATTATTTCTGAAAGTGGATACTATCCAACAAGCATGCATAATGCCTAAATTAATAAAGTTATCCCACCCTCCAAGAGCTCATGGAAGTAGAGGGAACAGGCTCTTCTACAGTGTGTAGTACACACGTGTGTTACATGTTCTGCACCTTTCTAAGAGATAACAGAAACCTGGTGAAGATAAGGAGGTAAGCTGAATAACCAGAGGCCCAGCTTCATCTAACAAGGGTGTTTCCTCAGACTTATTCTTGCTTGTACAAAAGGTATAAAATACAGATACCAAGTGGCTTTTACCTTTGGTTTTTGTTTTTTAAATTTTTTTTTTTTTTGAGAGGTTTTTGCTATAGGGCATGTGCACTCGCCAGATAGACAGAGAGAGACAGAGAGATAGAAAGTGAGAAATCACCCCCAGGGGGGATGGCCACGGCACAATCCCTTCTCCTCCATTTTCCTCTCGGGATCTTGGGCACACACGCACATGTGCCCTGCGTGAGTTTTAAGCCACCAGGTCGGGGACTCGAACCACAGTCAACTACGTGGGAGTCCAGCAACATAGCCATTACACTAACTGCTGGTCCCGCTTTTACCTTGGTTGAAAAGGATCTATATATCACTGTAGCTTTCATAAATATAAATGTGTTTAGAATGAGAATTGCATCAACCAAAACTCAGGCTAGTATATTGTCAAGTCAAAATCAACTGGGTTCTTAACCAGATCGCAGTCTGTTAATGAAGTCTCCACTATCTGATAGAGGACTTCATTGTTGATGGAAGCAACAGCCTGACCCCATTTTTCAATAGTGTGTGTAGTACACACTGTAAAAGTTTATGAAAGTGAAGAGTCACTGAGGTAGACCAGAAGTACAGAAGGTGACTGTATAGAAGAGGTCAAAGTGGGAAGAGAAATGATTGCAGGGGTGACCATTCCCCCTGGGGGTGATTTCTTGCTTTCTTTTTGTCTGTCCCTCTAGTGAGGGCACACACCCTGTAACAAAAATCTCTCTTAAAATGGGGACCAGCAGATGGTACCTCACTGGACTTCCATGTAGTCGACCACAGTTTGAGTCCCAGACCTGGTGGTTTAAACTCATGCCAGGTGCATGCATGCCCAAGATCCCAAGAGAATGGAGGAGAAGGGATTGTGGCGTGGCTATCCCCCCCCCCGGGGGGGTGATTTCTCGCTTTCTGTCTGTCTGTCTGGCAAGCACACACGCTCTATAGCAAAAACCTCTCAAAAAAAAAAATAAATAAAAAAGAGGTCAAAGTGAAAAGCAACATAAAGCTATATGATTATCTATGTATTTGGAAGGTTTATTAGAAAGAGAGAAGAAAGAGTTGGGGGACAGTAGTTGATGTCATTTACTTATCTAAAAGAAATAGCACGCTTCTGGAGAAGGGTCAGACTAATTGGGAAAATCAACCACAGTTAAATGAATTCAACTAAGAACAGTCCTTATTCTGAAAAATATTTCAGATTGATGGCATTTTAGTCTGAAATAGTCCAGTATTCACATAGCATGTAACTCTTGCAATTCGATGAGTGAAACGGCAGATTCTATGAGGGGTTAATTTCTAGCACCTTGTTATCCAAAATACAGCTTGACTATATAAATTTGAACTTGGATAGTTCCTTACTCCTTAATACGCTGACTAAAGATGCTAGGTTTGGGACCAGCAGTTAGCGTAATGGCTATATCACTGGACTCCCATGTAGTCGACGGTGGTTTGAGTCCTGGACCCGGTGGCTTAAACTCATACCAGGCGCATGTGCGTGCGTGCCCAAGATCCCAAGAGGAAAATGGAGGAGAAGGGATTGCAGCGTGGTCATCCCCCCTTGGGGGTGATTTCTCGCTTTCTATCTCTCTCTCTCTGTCTGGCAAGCAGACGTGCTCTATAGCAAAAACCTCTAAAAAAAAAAAAAAAAAGACTCTAGGTTTAATGCCAGTTTAAGACATTAGAATAATAAGCAAACTAAGCCGGTTATGTATAACCTTAAACAAAACCATGCACTAAAAAGATGTTCTTGGTTACCTTGCTTGCTGTTTTCGACGTTTTCCTGCCAGGGTTATAATCGCCTTCATTTTCGGAACCAGATGCTTTTCTTTTCTTTGCCCCTCGGCCTTTACCTTAAAATGATACAAAGGATTATTTTTCCCCTGAGATTAAATGCAGTATTAAAAAGATAAATTTCAAAGCACATTACAGTTTACTTTTTTGGCATGCCCATTCAGTGGGACACTGCAATTCTGACCTCTTACTACAAATAAAGGACAATTTGACAGCATCATTTCCATTCTGGGGTCGATATGACTAAAGAGCGTTTCACAGATACATTTAAATTCATAGGAAAGCCATGGAGA